GTGGGGAGCACAGGCATGCGGTGGGGGGTGGGGGGGGAAGGGGGTGCGCGGCTAGAGGAGCACTGCGTCCCCCGCAGCCTCTGGCACCGATTCTCCGGTTCAGCCCGGGCACGGCCGGTGCATGCTTTCCTCCGGACCTCTCAGCCCGCTCAGCCCTCCCAGCTCGAGGCGGACCCAGCCGCGGGCAGGGCTGGCGGCTTTGTCCTCCTCGAGGGGGACAGCCCGTGCTTCCTCCTGCGCGGGGCTCCCCCTCCTCCTCTCCCTCGGCAGGCCAGCCGGTCCCTGCAGGGGAGACTCGTACGCAGACCGTGGGGCTGAGCCGGGGCTGCCTGAGGGCTGCTTCCTGCAGCGGCCAGGGAGGGCTCCCGGGTCACGAAGGCAGGGACCTCCTTCCACACCGTCCCTCTGCCTTCTGGGATGGATGCTGCCTTGGCGGTGTCCTGCCTCAAGCACGTACTGGAGGATCAGGCCCTCCCCCAAGTAATCCGCGTCCCTCTGCCCCGGGTCAGATTCCTTACCGCAGGAGCCCTGGGGGTCCTGAGCAAGGCCTTGGGGGGAGGGGGACAGGCCGAGTGGTGTGGCTTGCTGGAACGGCCGTGGCCCCAGGGCAAACGAGCCACACGGGGCCCTGCGGCGGCAGCTGGCCGATAGTGACGGGGGCATCATCGGTTTCCTGGCTGGTCCCAGTCGGGAAACGCCAATGGTGCCACTGGGGGTGCCCGGGTGTTGTCAGATACGGCCCCCCTGTGCTCAGCAGATGGTTAGAGATTTTTTCATTCCGTCTTCAGATAGTTTTTAGGGATGTAGGAGAAACGGTTCCATTTATAATATATGCAGTAGCGCAGGTGCAAATCACACTAATTCGCATCCCCCCCCCCCAAATGTAGACTTTCCTCGCACAGCTTTGCAGAATCTGGAGCACTCAGGAAAAGGCAGCTTGCTGCAGAATCCAGAGGTCAGATTCACAGAACGCCAAGAGCCCCTGGGCCGCAACCCCTCGCAACGAAATTATTTTATTTCGTTATTTATTTATATTTATTTATTTAGAATTTTTGTATGCCGCCCCATTCGCATGAGCCTCGGGACGGCTTCCATTGGGAATTACTTCCCAAGGGCCCGGCCTGGGGCCCACGTTGTGTTGTCCTGGGTGCTAGTCAAGTCCTTATTTTCCAGCCGTTTTGGTAGGTCATATTCTGCTTTAAATCTGGTGCTTATTTTAGATCCTTGCACTTCTGCTGGGTTCTGTTTGGTTATGGTCATTTGAATGTTGTTACGTGCCCTCAAGTTGACGCCTGCTTGTGGCCACCGTGTGAATGAGCGCCCCCCAAAATGCCCCGTCCCGGACAGCTCCGCTCAGCTCGTGTTAACTCCAGGCTGTGGCTTCTCGTCTGGCCTCGGTCCCCCTTGGCACTGGCCCGGCTCGCCTTCGTCGGCCTTCAACTTCTCCTGGGCATTTTGCCCTCTCGAGTGCAGCAGAACGGCCTTCGTGAACCCGTAAGCTTTTCAGCATGTCTATTGCATTTTATCACTGTCTACTTTGTTCCAATTGTGGAGAACCTCCCCAGTATAGAAATGCGATGAGGCACAACTCGCCCCGTGCAAAGGCCTGGCAGCTGCCCCAGGTGGGAGCCCTGCTGGGTGCTTGGACAACCCCTGGCCACCTGGTGCAGGAGAACTTCCAGGCAGAAGGTGCTCCGGGGCTCGGGCCCCCCACTTGGACACCCCCCCCAGACAGAACCGACCTGGCCTTGCACCAGGTGGGATCACCGATCCACCTTGCCCGTCCTTGTCTTCCCCAGTCTTTCCCAAAGTGGCCCCATGCACTGGGGATGATGGGGGCTGCAGTGTGAACCACCAGGAAGGGACAGCAAGCTGTTCTGCTCTGGTGAGGGCTGTTCCCCGGGGTCTTAGACAGAACTGCACTGCCACCAGGACGTCCAAAGCTACCCCCTGCTGAGCCAGGCCTCGGATGCGGCTGGTCCAGGACTGGCAGCTCCCCTGGGCAATGGAGCCTTCAGGATTCGGGGTTTTTCTGGGCCTGTGTACTGGCGATCAAACCAGGCATCTCCCGCATCCACAGCAGGTCCGCTTCCCCTAAGAGATGGATCAGGACTGGGCTGTCACAAGGGGTGCCTGTGCCCACTCATTGAATTGGCCCAAAAAAAAGGACATGAAGAGGTGAGGTTAGATGAGAATTTCAGCTTGGTTTGGTTTGTGGAGCCATGTGTGTGGAGCTGAATGGGGTCACCCCCTTTTTATCTATTTATTTAGAGAACTTATATGCCGCCCCATTCTCATAAGCCTCGGGGCGGCTTCCAAACCACAACTAAATATAATTGATACAATTACATAAAATATTGGAGACATCCTGGCAAAAAAATTGTTAAAATCAATAAATAAAATCAACGATTAAAACAATGTTTAAATAAAAAGGTCTTGGCCTGGCGCCGAAAAGCAAATAACGACGGCGCCAGGCAGACTTCTCTGGGGAGCGCGTTCCATAAGTTGGGCGCCACCGCAGAGAAAGCTTTTTCTTCTCACAGGTTCCTCATCTTTAGCAGCTGTGCGGCAGGCAGGGCTGTGCCCCGCAGGCCTCTCCGGGGTGGGATTTGTGGCCCCTCTAGCGCTCGGCCTGCACAGATGGATAAGCTTTGCCCTTCGCTTGTTTTGGATAAGACACTCCAGAATTCACAAAGTTCAGGAGTGAAAGAACTTGAGCTGTCGAAAACCCAGCTGTGGGAGTGAGTGGGGCGGACAAATTTGCCCACCCCTCTGAAGGCCCTGCATGCCTGTCGGTCCATCAGGGCTTCCTCATCATCATCGGAAACGGCGGGGGGACCTTCGGGTTGCAGCCCCTGCGGCGTGTTCGTTCCCAGCCCCGCTCCCGGCACTCCGAGATGCAGGGCCATGATCCAAGCGGGAAGGCTGCCGTTCCACCCCTGGGCCAGGGAGCGCTCCCCGTCCTTTGCCAGGCCGCAGGCTTAAACTCACACTTGTACTGATCGCCTCCGTCTGGCAGACAGGCAGGCAGCAGCGGATGCACCCACAGTGCCGGACTGGAGGCACCCAGCCTAAACGATGCGTTCATTTCACCATTTTTGGCACGAACGCCCTCCCAAGTGCTGGGCTTCCAAGTCAGGCTTCCCACCAGTGACTCCCAACGACCCCCAAGCTAATCTATCCACCCCGTTTTCTGTGCAGTTGGAGGAACCGTGCCGAGTGGCTTTCTTAAGGGACCAATGTTTGCACGGTGCCTCCCCTTTCTTCTTGTCATGTGAGAGTGTGATGCAATGCCGGGGAGGGGCTTCAAATGATAGAATGGTCCCACTACCTATTGAAAGGTTGCATGCAGCTGGAAAGCTAGCCTCTCAGGGAAAAAGGCCGTGCATCTTACTCCTTTGAGCTTTCAGAGTGGAGAAGACGTCTCTTTTGCTGCCATCTTTGCATGGATGTCAGTGTGACTCGCCCCACATTCACACACACACCAGCCTGCAAAAGCGGGCCTACTTGAGGGAGCTTTGCCGGAGCCCCGGTCGGTTCTCGCTTCCTTTTCCCCAGCCGCCTTCATCTGCTTCAGCAGCGCCGCCCTGCCCGCAGCTGCGTCCCGGCTTTTTTTGGCCACCTGGGCATTACGTCCTTCGCTGCATTTGACGTATCCGGCACAGACCTTGTTCTCCAGTAGCAGAAACAAAAATAGCTTTTGCTGCCGTGGTCCCATCCGTCAGCGCCGCTTCCGAGCCGGCCCGAGCCTCCGCGCTCACTTCCTACTTGGCCAAAAATGCAGCTGCTGCTCAGATTGCTCAGCATCTCTGCTTGCGACTCCCCCCTTGGCTGCCCCCCCCCCCCAGCAACAGACGCAGCAGAGGCTTGCCGGAAAGAAGGGATCTTTGCTGTAGATGAGACTCGGTCCTTTTCCACTGAGGGTTATTTCAGAGCGGATGACCCACATTTATTAGCCGACAGGTCTCCACGCGCATCATTCTCCATCGGAGTCTCCCGTGGAGCACCAGGCCCAACACCCTAATTATAGATGGAGCTGCCGAGATGTGAAAACGCCTGCCTCAAAATCCTACAGCAGAACTTCAGTTTTAGTTGTTTTTCCTAAATATCCCCTGAAAGCTAAAATTTAGACATGAACGCAGTTTCAGTGCAGTGCATTTGAAGCTGCCATTCCTCGTTTTGGGCTTGCACCAAAGTCCAAGCCGGAGGGAAGCTGCGCTGCGCAGGGGGACCCGAGGGCCTGGCTGCTCCGTGCCCTCTCGCCCCGGGGAGCTGCCCTCGGCAGCTTTTGCAGCGCTCCTCTCATCCTGCAGGGCAGAGTGGGCCAGGCTGCCGGCCTATCTGCCAACGCCGGGCGAGGGGGCGAGAGCGGGTGAGGCTGCTGAGCAAACCTGGCCGGGCCTGTGCCAGGATGCACGTGTGGAAGCGCAGGTCCAGGCGCCTCTGCTGCCCCGGAGCCCGGCTGACGTGCGAGGGCCTCGACGCGAGGCAGCCGGCCGCTCGGGGAGAAGGCGCCTTGCTTTCCGCAGCTGGGGCCGCAGGGCGCCTGCTCCGCCCCGACACGTGCGTGCGTGCACGTGTGGCCCGGCGGTCCCGGGAAGGCCTTTCCGAACGCGAGGCGCATCCGCTCCCCGGGCATCTCGCGGCGGGGAGACCGACCCCGTGGAGGGCGCTCGGCTCCGCTCCGCGGGGCCACGGGGGGCAGCAGCCCGCCCTAGCCTTGGGATCAGAGCCGGAGCCGCCCCGCCGCTCGAAGCTCGGCCAGGCGGCCCGTACCCCGCCAGAAGTTTTGGACTACTCCTCCCATCAGCCCCAGCCGACACGGCCAACCAGCCGTGGGCGGGACGGGGGCGCGTCTGGAGGGGACGGCCGCCTCGCTCTGCCCCGCCCCTCTGCCCATGCGCAGAGGCCGCGCCCCGCCCCGCCGCTTCATTCATGCCCGCGCCGGCCCCGCCCACTCCGGGCTGCGCCGCGGCGGCGAGTGCGCGGCGGAGGGGCGGCTGCGGGAGCGCCGGCGAGCCGGAGCCGAGGGCGGACGGTGCAGCCGCTGAGCCATGTACGGTAAGGGAGGGCGCGCGCTCGCCTGCCTCGTTCCTTATCCTGCCGCCTCACTAGGGACTGGCTGCTTGGTCCCCGATCGCCGCGCGGGGAGGCTTGTCGGATGCGTCCAGCCCCGCCGTTCTCCAGTCTCGGGCAGCTCCAAGAGGTCCCGATTGTCTCGCTCCCCCCCCCCCCACACACGCTAAATAGGCCTGATGGACTCCAGCCCCCTCAGTCTGGGGACTGTGGGACTCTCACTCCCATCAGCCCCAACCAGCCTAGTCAGATATCCAGCTGCAGCCCTACGAAGATGAGGATCGTCTGCTCGGGAAGCCTCCTTCCCTAAGGCGCCCTTGCCGCCCCTCTCGCAGCCTGCACGGCAGGCTCTTCCAACCTGGCGCCCCCCGCCCAGGGGGCCTGGGATTCCGTTCCCACCAGCCCCGGGCGGCAGCGTCAGGGGCGGCCAGGCCCGTCCGGAGGGCGCGGGGTTCCAGAAGGTTGCGCCAAATCGGCGATGGAGCTGCGGTTTCCCTGGGCTGCCAACACGCGGACCCACTTCGGGGGTGGCTCTCCCGGCGACATCTCCGTGCGTCGAGTGGCTTCCGCCTGATGCGGCCCCTCCGGGGCTCATGCACGGGCTGTGGAGGGGCGTCTGTTGGGGGGGGGAGCCCATTATGACCCCCCGGGGAGAGCATTTGAGGCCCTTCTCCGCCTGCCCTTCGAGATGCGAAGGACGAACCTCTCCTCTGCAAAACGCGGAACGATGCGGAGATGACACGCAGAACGATCGGGGGGAGGCAGCCTCACCCCCCCCCCATAAACAACTCCTCGGCCACCCGAGCCCGCGGTCTCTCCGGGGCACCCAAGGCACGCCCCCTCTCCCCCCCACGCCGGTCTGGTGGCGCAGGCACCGTCTTGGTCCCTCTGCGCGCCAGCCCCACCCCAGAGCAGCGTGTTGATGCGCTCCGACTGGCGTGTCGGACTGGCGTGTCACCCCCTTTAGGCTGCGCCCTGGCGGTCTGTTGTCGCGCCGGGGGGAGTCTGCAGCCCGCTGTGGGGGCGAACCGGGGGGGGGGGGGGGGGGTGCCGGGGGGGGTTGGGGGGGGGGTTGAGAGGAGCGGCGGGCGTGTGCGCGCCTGTGCGTTTCGAGCAGGCTGCGAGAGGGGCAGGCGACCCTCGCCCCCCTCCGGGTGGACCTGACGGTTGAGATGCAGCCCGATCGCGCGAAGGGCGCGCTAGCGGCTCGCCCCGTCCAGATGGCGGGTTTAGAGCAGCGGCCTGCACGACCAAGCAGGGGCTTTTTGCTGGGAGGGGGCTCGCTGCCCCCCCCGCCGCCCAGCACGCACGCAGCTGCGTCGCGCTGGCTTAAGCCCCGAGTCTGCCGATTCCTGCTGCCCGGTTCCCTCCCATCGGAAGTCCTGCGGGGTCACGGCACCCCCCACCCCTGTTGGGTCGGCCCCCATGCTCTGCACCAGCAGCAGGTCGCCGCCTGCCTCAGCCGGCCCTGTGCCTGAAAGCCCCAGAAGCCCGAACCGGGCCAGCCGCAGCAGACGCGTGAATTCGGAGCTTTCTGTTCCCTGGGGAGCCAGGAGATGCCTTCTGCCTGTTGCGGGTCTCTGCAGCCGCGAGGCAGAAGAGGAGGGCTGGGAACGGGGTGGCCCATCTCGCAGATGGTTCTGGGCCCCTCCGTCCACCCACACTGGGTCCTTTCGCAGCAGCACATGTGCAGGTGGCCCTTTCTCCGTGGAGGCCCGAGGCGCTCACAAGTCCACACTAGAACACAGCATTAAATGTGTCTGTGCACTGTTTTTAATGAAGCAGAGCAATTCATGATCTGGGCCAGGATGTGGAAAGGGTGTTCAACACTCTCCTCCCCCCCCCGTTTTCCTGACCACCCCCACCCCCAAATGCACACTCTTGCTCTGTGCTGTGAAAGGGAAGCTGCGATTTGCAAGTTGGCAGCTCTGGAGACGGGCATTTTGTGCCGGAGAAAACAATACCGTGGGGAACGGTGGACTCCTCACTCACAGCAGTCCTAAATTGGATTGGGCGCCCCCGTGGCTGACATTGTAGAAGAAATTACTAGTATGCCTGCATGATCACCCGCTTCATCCATTATTTGTTTATTATTATTTATTTAAAGTTCTTGTATGCCGTCCCCTTGCTATATCGCCTCGGGACGGCTCACAGAAATAAATAAATACAATACAAATGCAATTAAAACCCAGAAACACCCTGGCTGCACAATTAAAACTTATAAATATTAAACATTGTTAAAACATTGTTTGAATAAAAAGGTCTTAGCCTGGCACCGAAAAACAACTAACGACGAAAACAAATAATCCATGCCATCGCTGCTTTCCTCAAGCCTTGTGTTCAAACCCTTGCCTGGTCGCCAGAGGCGATCTGAGGTCGCATGGAGGTGAGCGAGCAGCCTGGCAGAGAATGGGTGGGATTCAGAGCTGCTCTGGGAGACATTTTGGCTGAAGAGTGAGGCTAAAAAGCTGTCCGCTTGCTTTGTGCCGATGTTCCCAGTGTGGCGTGCTCCAGATGTTTGGAATACAGCTGTCATTATCCCTGACTGTTGCCCGTGCTGGCTGGGGTAGTGGGAATTGTTGCTTCAAATGTTCGGGGGATGCCAGGATGGGGAAGGTTGCTTTAAAGAGATAAATCTGCCCTAGTGGAGGTGATGAGCCCGCATCCGGAGCAGACACGCAGCTCTCTGGCGTTGCACCCTAGCTACCGGCCCTCGCAATTTTGGGGGGCTTATCTAAAAGACTGAGTTCCAGGTTGAGTTCTGTGCTGCAGAGTCGCTGCATGCCTGTCTCAAAGTGAACAGCAGTGGCGACTGTTCCAGGGCATGTTGGAAGCCGCCCCGAGGCTTCGGCGAATGGGGCGGCATAAAAATGTTTTAATAAATAAATAAATAAAATGTCCTAAAGCCAGCCGTCCTCAAGCTGTGGTATCCTCCGGACATCTTGAACGACAGTTTTCATCCTCGTCCCCAGTCATCAGGCCCCGCTTTGGAAGCTCCTATTGATTTATTTGATTTATATCTCGCCTCTTTATTTTTTAAAGAATTCAATGCAGTCTGTGTCATTCTCTAACCCACACAACAACAACCCTGTGAGGTAGGTTGGGCTGGGATTCTGTGGCTGGCCCAAAATCGCCCGATTGGCTGAGCAGGCACTCGAACCCGGATCTCCTGAGTCCCAGTCAGGTGCTCTCAACCACTGCTCCGCACTAGTTCTTGGCTTCTGTACCCTCCATCAGCCAAAGCCCTCTCCGGGCCGTCCTCACAGGTTTCCCATGCCCAAAAGGACATGGCGCTTCCTCCAGAGCAGGAAATGCCATGTGACGGCAGGCAGTTCACAGAACTACAGTGAATGCCGCCTCTCCTGCTTCTCTGTGCGTCCAGAATGGCCTCTTCTGTTTTGTTTTCCCTCTGTTACATTTTGGCGTGTATCCCAGTGCCGGGAGGATCATTCTGACAGGGTGGATATCAGGTGGGTGGAAACGGTGGTTTAGGGTGGGTGATTTTAATGCTCTGTTTTGATACCGCTGTATATTTTAAACACTCCCCACTCTACTCCCAAGGCCGCCTAATCCTTGCAAGGCCTAATCCTGCGTTGCTCCCCGTTCCTGGGGAGACGCAAAAGCAATACTGATTCAAACGGGTGTTCAGCACGCAGCTCAGGACCTCGCTTTCGGGGAGCCACCTGTGACCGCTTTCCTGCAGGGGCTAAATCCAGTCTCAGAAACACTTGGGGGTGCCTTCCGGGGGTGGTGGGGAGACAGAATGCAAAGGGAGCAGAGCCTGAGTACCCCAAAATACCGGCCCCTTGGAGCATAAAGCTCATCCTGCCATCAGCTAAACCTCAGAGGAGTTGTTTCATCGTTCCAAAGAGGAAAAAGGGGGAGCCGAGGCAGAGGCCATATGGAGAACCCGAAAGGTGCTGCCTGCATACCTCGGTGCGCCCTGTCCCGTAAACTTGGCAATGGTGAGCTTGTAAAATGTGTGAACTTGTCTGCAAGCTTGCATGAAAAGAGCTGTGTCCATGAGAAGCATCCGTGCTTTGCATGGGTAGCTTTTGAATTGCATGCATTGCTGCGATGGGGGAAAACAGAGTCTGTTTGGCACGAGGTCCGAAGAGCTCGTGGCCTTCAGGGCTCCCCCTGCCCTGCCAGCCCCGGTGCCCCTGCGGGTTCTTCTCCGGCCTCCGCTGTCCTCTCCCCGCTTTTCTCTGGTTCACGCCTTTCAGTGTGCTCAGCTGGATTGTGTGTTATCCTTCCCTGACCCTGCGGGGAGCCCAGCCACTTGCCTGCTTGCTTGCTCGCTCGCTCTGCTCCTGGGAGGCAAATCCCCGCACTCGGAAGGCCGCTAATGTCCAGCAGCTGTCCGAGACAGCTGGCTAAAGCCCTCCGCCTTCGGTGGCCACCCAGCCGGCAGCCGGTCCTGGCTCAAAGTGCGTGGCTGGAGATGATTGCAGGCGGCCCGTCTGCCAGCGAGGGCAAAGCGCCTCGTGCCGGCTGCAGCCCCCTGGTCAGGCCGGGCAGTGTGGGGGGCCCTCTGTGAGAGGAGGCAGGGCGAGGGCCCTGGCGCCCTGTGGGGGTGCGCCGTCTTCCTGGGCTCGGCTTCTTGGGTCCTCGAAGGCTTCCCCCAGGGCCGTGCCTGCCCCACCGCCTGGCGCCCTGGGATGCCATGGCCACGCTCTCTGGGAATGGCAGGAGCCGCGTCCGATGGGTCTGGAGGGCGCCACATTGGGCAGGGCTGCCGGAAGAAACCCCTCAACGCCCCCAGAGCCGATGCCCCAACCTGTTGTGCAAGAAAGGCACGGGCCACCCACATCACTCTCCCAGGTCCCCCTCGCCCACCTCGGGCTGCCCCGTGGGCTCTCCTCCTTCCTGGGGCAGCTGAGAAGCTCAGCGGGGCGGGAAGGCCTGGCCTGCGCCCTGGGAAGGCTCCGTCGGACCCTTGGGGGGAGCTGCCGGCTGGTCGTCTCAGCCTTGGACGAGACGTT